TCCACATGCACCTGGGTCTGTTTCTGAGGTCTGCATTCTGTTCCACTGGATCTACCTCCATTGTTTGTTTGTTTGTTGATCATCTTTTGACTTTGATTCTTCCCATTCATTTATTCAGGCCTTATTTTATGCCCTTTAACCACGGAAGAACACAACAATGGATATACATATCTTATTTCTTATTTTAATTGGAACTTCTTCTGAAGTCTTATGTTTAAATATGAGTCTTGCTGCGTGTCTTTGATGACTACCCTTTGCTCTGGGGTAGTTTGGTAAAAGGTATACTTTTTTTAAAATGTTGACTTTTATAATTTTTTTTCTGAGTCTACTAAGATCATTATATTTTTTCTTCAATCTGTTTATATGCAGTACTACTTTGATGACTACTTTTTATACTAAAAGATAAGTTTTCATTTTATAAGTGATTGTAGGACTTTATCAAATGTTTCCTTCTGGGACTTGTATGCATGCATATAAGCATAACCAATGGACATAAGATACTGGGGGGTAGGGGAGGCCAGGGGAATGTCAAGGGTGGGCGGAGGAGACATATGTAATACTCTTTGTAATACTTTAAGCAATAAAACAAAATTTTAAAACTGTTTCCTTCTGCATCTATTAAAAAGTAGATTTTTAATTTTTCTTTTATCTGTTGATATGGTGTACTCCTTAAGAGATTTTATAATGTTGAACTTTCTTACATTCTCAGGACAAACCCTATTTGATCATGATTAATTATTATTTTTATATGAACTGCCACATTTGATTTACTAATATTTTATTTAACATATTATCTCCTTAGCATCATACAGATAATTAATTTATGGTCCTCTCATAAACTAGTCTTTTCTGGTGTGGAGATCAAGATTACACTAGGCTCAAACATGATTAGGGTGCCCTGACCAGTTTATCTCAGTGGTTAGAGTATCAGCCTGTGGACTGTAAGGTCCCAGGTTTGATTCCGGTCAAGGGCATGTACCTTGGTTATGGGCACATCCCCAGTAGGAGGTGTGCAGGAGGCAGCTGATTGATGTTTCTCTCTCATCGATGTTTCTAACTCTCTATCCCTCTCCCTTCCTCTCTGTAAAAAATCAATAAAATATATATTTTTTAAAATGATTAGGGTATACCTGGTTGGTGTGGTTCAATTGATTGGGTGTCATCCCTAGTACTGAGGGGCTGCTGGTTCCATTCCCGGTTGGGACACATGCCCAGATTGTGGGCTTGATCCCTCGTGAGGGGCATGCATAAAGCAGCTGATATTTCACTCTCACATTAATTTTTCTCTCTCTCTCTTTCCCTAAAAATTAAAAATATGATTAGGGTAGCTTTCCCTCTTTCAACTCTGAAACAGTATAAAACTAGGAATACTTATTCCATAAAGCCATTAGGACTGGGTATATTTTTGGAGAAAGGAAAAAGTTGTTAACAAATTTTGATTTCCAATTAACAATCAATGGCATATTATTTTCTAAAGTCCATTTTGACAATTACCCCTTTCTAAAAAATATTTATTTCATATAAGTTTGCAAATGTATTAACAATGTTATTCATAATAATTCTTTACAATAGAATAATCTCTGTTTTATTTCTAGGTCTGCCATATCATTCCTAATAATGTCTATTATGCCTTTTCTCTTTTTACTCCTGATAAATCTTGATAGTGGTTTGTTTCTTCTAGTATTGCCTCCAAAGAACCATTTTTTATTTTATAGTATTGATCTCCTCAACTGTGTCATCTGTTTTCATTAACTGTATCAATTTTTCTACTTCACTATTTTATGTTCTTATCCATATTTTTCTTTTCTCCTATTTTAACTTTTCCTTATTTATTTTTCCCCCTTACTTAAATTGAACACAATTCCTTTAATGCCAGTCTTTATTTTATTGTTACTTTTGTTACAGAAAAATTTTAGTAGAAACAAAATCAGAAAGAATACTATGTACTCAACAGCCAACATCAACAATTTTCAACTGATGGTCAATCTCATGTTAGGCAATCATCAATCCGAGATTACTTTAAAGCAAATTCTGACATCATATATTTTCATGTATAAATAGTTCAGTAGTTTTTCTAAAATATTAAGATTCCGCCGAAACCGGTTTGGTTCAGTGGATAGAGCGTCGGCCTGCGGACTGAAGGGTCCCGGGTTCGATTCCGGTCAGGGGCATGTACCTGGGTTGTGGGCACATCCCCAGTAGGAGATGTGCAGGAGGCAGCTAATCGATGTTTCTCTCTCATCGATATTTCTAACTCTCTATCTCTCTCCCTTCCTCTCTGTAAAAAATCAATAAAATATATTTTTAAAAAAAAGATTCATTACACTTAAAAATACTATTATAATACCTAAAAAAATCCACCAATAATCTTTCATGTCATCCAATATCCACTCAAATTTCCTCAATTACCCCATAAATACTTACATAATTTCTTTGGCTCCTCATAAGGTCCAATCTTTGCAATTGGTTAATATGTCTCTTATGATTCTTTTAACCTATAGGTCTCTCTTCATCTTTTTTCCCTTAAAATTTATTTGTTGATGAAGATGGATAGTATGTCCTATAGAGAAGTGGTTCTCAACCTTCTGGCCCTTTAAATACAGTTCCTCATGTTGTGACCCAACCATAAAATTATTTTCGTTGCTACTTCATAACTGTAATGTTGCTACTGTTATGAATCGTAATGTAAATATCTGATATGCAGGATGGTCTTAGGCGACCCCTGTGAAAGGGTTGTTCGACCGCCAAAGGGGTCGCGACCCACAGGTTGAGAACCACTGGTCTAGTTCATCTACCATTGCAAATAGACCCTTTCCTCCCCATAATAGCTACCACTTAACTAAAAACACAATCTCATTTAATTCTTATAACAATTTCACCAGGTAAGTATTATTTTCTCACCTAAGAGATCATTCCCATTTTATAAGAAATTGGGGCTTAGCCCTAGCCAGTTGCTCAGTGGTTAGAGCATCTTCCCACAGACCAAGGGTCTCAGGTTTGATTCCCAGTCAAGGGCACATACCTCAGTTGTGGGTTTGATACCTGGCCCGGGTCAGGGCACATACGAGAGGCAACCAATCGATGTGTCTCTCACATCGATGTTTCTCTCTCTCTCCTTCTCTTCCCTGCCTTCCACCCTCTCTAAAAATCAATGGAAAAATATCCTCGGGTGAGAATTTTTAAAAAAGAAAATAAATTGAGTCTTAGAGTGAATAAGGCACTGAAATGTTCAATGACAAAGAGGGATGTGAAGCCAGGTTTATCCAACACCCAAATCCACATTTTCTGTTACTGTGCTCCATTGTCCCCCAACAGCATGAACTGTGGGTCCTCCTTCCCCTCTTCATGAGGCATGCTGTTGGCATCCTGGCATTGATGTCTGGCTGGGTCTTGGGGGTTTGCATCCCCAGGGCCCTCCTGGTTGATGTCCCCTCATCTCTGACCCAGCAGCCTCTAGCTGGACCACAGTAGGCCTAGACCTTGGACCAGTCCATTCGCCCATCATTTCACCCTCAGGTTCCAGGCTGCCTGCTGGGGAAGCAGGGGTGGGAGGGGGTCCTCAGAAGGCAGAGCCAGTATTTGTTGAAGCCTGAAGGGGGCGGGGCAGGCAGCTGCCCACCAGCAAGGTGCCTCTGGCCCCTCCTTCGCAGAGCAGATGGGAATGTTTGTGTCCCAGTTGACAATGACAAGGAAGTGCCCTGCACCTGATTGAGTCGTTTCAGTATCAGGGACTGATTCGGGGACGCAGAATGCCATCCTTAGCCGGGCAGCCAGGAACCCGTCCCTCCGAGCCCCACCATCACAGCAGAGGGCTCCCCGTGCTCAGGCTAATTTTGAATGCTTTACCTGCAGCACTTATGTTATCTGCACAGCAACCTCATGAAGTAGCTACTATCATCACCATTTTCCAGGTGAGGAAAGACAAACAGTAACCTGTAACTTAACCAAGAACAACAGCTACAAGTACTGGTTACCCATGAGGAAAACAGGGATAGAATGCCTGCCCACCAACTCCATAACACAGGGGTTTTGTAGGCCGTCAACTCCCGTACATCGACAATAAGTTAGTATTTTTAAATCTGGGACCGTTACAGTTCTTCCCTCCCCCTTTCTGGATAGAGGACAGATTTCTCCAGGGGCGCCTCTAGGTAATGTGGGCACAGAAAGTTCCTGGAAGAAGTTGGTAAACAACGGTGTCGGCAGACAGGGAAAGTAAGCGGCTGGAGGGACCGAGTG